GAAATATAATGAGTTTATTTTTCTCTCTTTCTCTCTTTTTTGGGGGTGGAAGTGGGGCTCACTCCTGCCTTTGATCACTCCTGGCACTGCTCAGAGAACTAAGTGCACAGCTTTACAGCTGCCCTGACTTTTTAAATATTGACCCTGGTGCAAGACATTTTGACTTAATTTCTCTGATAATTAGTGATGACCTATTACTTTTTTAAATGGACCTTCCTATGAATTCTTTCTGTAAGAATGAGATAACATAAAATAAAATATTGTAGAAAATAAGGAGAAAACGAAGCAGGTAAGGTGTTTTGCCTTGCACATGGCTGACTGGGGTTCAATCCTATGTAGTTTGCTGAGCACCTCCAGAAGTAATTCGTGAGTACAGAGCCAGGAGTAATCCCATAGGCAATGCCAGGTACGGCCTCAAAACTGAGGAAGGGAAGGAATATGGGGGAAAGTGTGGGAGGGGGAGAAGAGGGAAGGTGGGAGGGAAGAAGGAGAAAAATATGGTAACTAAGTCTCAGGGACTTTAGAAAGTTTTGATTAAGGAACAACAGTGCAGCATCTGATCTAGGTATTTGGTGCCTGATTTCAAAGCCAGGAAATATATCCTTCCCAGGAGTAGAAATATTGTAGGACACAGAATAGGTGAAGAAATGGAAACAGAGATGCAAGACAGAAGAAATGAATAACTAACTCCAATGTGGTTTTCAGTGTGAAGGCAACAATCTCACTATGGCACTGGGTGGTTCATCAATATTCTTAGTCTGAACTAGATCTTGTGCCCTGTCGATTCTGAGATTCTGTGCTTCCAAACTCCTCGTTTCTTGGGTTTCTAAGAGCAGGCATGTGATAGTTGAGTTACTCAGCCGCCCAGATTTGACTTTACGTTGTAGATTATTATTAATGTATTCAAAGAGAAATTATTGCTGTGCAACAAGAGGCAATCACAGGAGCAATTACATCAAGGGTAACATATGACCCCTGAAGAAACAATGGAAAATTAGTGCTGGGTGTTAAGCACAGCAGATGGGAAAGCATTATCATAACCTTAATGGTTGACCCTTGGACCTCTAGTCATATCATGTAGTTACATATGAGGGATCAAAGAACAGCTGGGTAAAAGGTTAACATTTTTGAGTTCTAATATTTTGAGTGTTCTCGCTGTTAAGTGATTTTGAAACATGTAAAATGCAACTGAAAACAGTCTCAGCCATTCTACCAAGGTTTTTAAGGAGTCTTAGATATTTGCTGGTGTACTAACCTTCTCCCAACCAAATTTCCCACTAAAGCATTCCATCTAAAAGTTAGACTTAGCTTCCTAGATTCTCTGCTCATTCCCTTCCAAACTCACCGCATCCTCTCAACTTGTAACACTACTTTTCCTTACACTGTAAGAAATCCTATGGTTGTCCTTCTCCCATGGTGTCTGCCTTCCCCCGACCCCCGCTCCCATCTCCCCATTTCCCACGACTTGGCAGCCAAGCCCATAAGCTGCCTCTGGCTGGTGCCTGAGCCAGATCAACAGCCACGATCCAGAGGCTCACTGTCCTCTCTCTCAGAAGAGAGCATAAAAGACACATACCAAGCCATGCCACCGGACCCTATGCCAGGCTGTTTCATTTGAGTCCCTTCCCCACCTCAAGGGACCCAGCCCTGGCAGCCAAGAACCTCCAGCACTCAACTGCTGCCACACTCAGAACAGCTCTCCACTCGCTCGGGCCAAGCCTCAGCCACGAGTAGACTTTCTCCTGGACCTCGCGGCCACAAATGACAGCTCATACCTCACACCACTCATATTCCAAAAGCAGCACACTATATTTGAGGGGTTTAAAGAAGAAGGCAAACCCATCTTTGAGGGAAATATATTTTTACCAATAATGCACACAAGCCTCAACCTTCAACAACATACGAGCAATCTCTTATACAAGGGCTTAGTGGGCTCTGGGGGAAATGCAACAATCTTTACACACTTTCCTCTAAAAAAACTGTTTTGGACCACTTTCAGCAGTTTATTCATAACAAACAATACAAAACAAACTATTTCGGTTCTGCTTTGGGACAGGGTTGGGGCTTGGGATGGAAACATCCCAAATATGGTGGTGGGAAGGTGTCATGGTGGGGAGATCGGCTCATAGCTACAGGCCTAACTCTTAAAATGTCTCCTTAGTTAAATGCTAGGTGACAAATAACTAATTTATTCTAAGAGAAGAATGAGTATAAATCCTATTACATCTGTCGATATAAGAAAGTTCATTTTGGGCAGGAGCCATAGCACAGCGGGTAGGGCATTTGCCTTGCATGCGGTCGACCTGGGTTCAATCCCCGGCATCCCATACGGTCCCCCAAGCACCGCCAGGAGTAATTCCTGAGTGCAGAGCCAGGAGTGACCCCTGAGCATTTGGGAGTGACCCAAAAGGCAAAAAAAAAAGTTTATTTTACCAGGGAAATTTTAGTGCCCACGTTATACCCAATGAAGTAACTCTAAGTCTAGGAATTTCAAGCATTTTGATAAGTTTTAACAGAATAAAAGAGTTGGGGTATTACTCTTATTCTTACCATTTAGCTAAAAATCATTTAAAAATTTTTTTATGCCAAGCATAGAATAGGAGATGTGCATGTGTTACTATGCTTAATCTTCAAACAACCTTTAGAAGTATTATCATTTCCAGTTTCAAACAAAATAGTTGAGGCATATGTAGATCAGCAACTTGTCTCAGGCTATGGTGATATGCCAGGGTTGATGCTTGAATCCAGGCCCTAAAACTAAACAATGAAATCTGAACTTTTTTTCATACTACTATGATGTTCTCCAGGTAGTTCTGGGGTCAACCCTAGTATCTGGATTATGGGTCGTCCTCTTTAATGTTGCTGTTTTCTTGTGACACTTTAAATTTAACATGCATAAAATTTTTTTCACATAGATATTTCATTCAGAGTCTCCTGCCCCTGCGCCTGGCTGTCCTCACCGGGGCCCCTTGGAGGGGAGCGGGTTGAGTTTCCCTCCCCACCCCGACCAGGGCTCCGGCAGCCGAAGACCTCCAGAACCAGCCACCACCATGCTGAGAACACTCTCCACACGCATGAAGGTACCGGTAGAGGAACAGAGGCATACGGGTCCCGGGGCTGAGATCTCCAAGCCTGCTCGGATCGGGGCTGAGCATCCTCCACCCAGATCCTCCAAATTCCAGTAGGCAGGGGTCACACCCACCAACTGACCCCCTGGCACCGTGTAATCCCATCAACGGCCAAGACTCAGAGACTATAAAACCCAGCTCCCGGAAGTGACATCTTATTATCTCATTCCTACTTTGGACAAACTGGCAGGCTACCAAATGTAACCTGCCCACACGGCAGAGTCTGGCAAACTCCCCGTGGCGTACCCAATATGCCAAATACCAGTAACAATGATGGGTCTCATTCTCCTAACCTTGAAAGAGCCTTGAATATGGCACTTTTTAAAAAAAAATCTTAGGACTGGGACAAAGGAGAGCCTGCTCGAGGCAATCGACGAATAACAGGATGGTCGTGATCGTGAGATATTTCATTAATCCTACCTGGCAGTCCCCTACAAAATTCATTAAAAGATACTGTAAACATTTTTAAGAATTTTATCCCGCCCACATGGCAGAGCCTGTCAAGCTCCCCATGGCATATTCCATATGCCAAACACAGTAACAACAAGTCTCACAATGGAGACGTTACTAGTACCCACTCGAGTAAATCAATGAACAACAGGATGACAGTGCTACGAAAAATGAGAATCAGAGCAACTGAATAACTTGACCAAAGTCACAATGCCACCATGATAAAAGCTCCAGAGATGAGATACTGATACAGCAATAACTGATCTATATATCGTGTGCCAGACAGTGTTAGGCTCTGCCCCCAGATAAGCCTCGAGTCTCTCAGAACATTTCCCATGATTGCCTGATTGGATCCCAGGTGTGTCTGCACTCTTAACCACTCCACTACTGTCAACCTCTGCTGCCATTATTCTAGCCTCCTCACCCCCTTCTTAATTAAGGAAATTAATTGAAGCAGTTAGTTATCCAAACAGATTTTTTTATAATGGAAGTAACCTACTTACAATTGTGTTAATACCTATATTCTGAGTGTACAAAGTTACTTCGCCTCCACCTCCACCAAGTGTTAAATCTATCCTTAAATCACTCCACCTGTGCCTCTTCCTTCCCTTCCACTGTATGCCTCCGCCCCCAACCGCTTGGTAACGTCTGTTCTTTAGTCAAGTCCAAGGATTGCTGAAAGTAGGTAAAGGGACAAACATGATAACCTTTCAGTACCTATGGTGCAAACCTAACGCCAAAAGAAGAGGAAGAGAGAGAAGGAGAGAGAGAGAAAGAGAGCAGAGAAGAGAGAAGAGAGAGAGAAGAGAAAAGAGAGAGAGGAGAAGAGAGAGGAAAGAGAGAGAAGAGAGAGAAGAGAAAAGAGAGAGAAGAGATAGAAGAGAAAAGAGAGATGAGAGAAGAGAAAGAGAAGAGATAGAAGAGAGAAGAGAAAGAGAGAAAAGAGAAGAGAGAGATAAGTGCTTACTATCAGGTAAAGGCAGGGCTGGGGCTAGAGGGAAACTGGGTACATTGGTGGTGGGAAATGTACACTGGTGGAGGGACAGGTGTTAGAACACTGTATGACTAAAACCCAGTCATGAACAATTTTGAAATGGTTTATCTCAGGGTGATTCAATTAAAAATAAAAAATAATTTCCAAGGAGCAGCTATCATCACTACTATTAAACAGAATTTTGTTGTTGGTTTTTTTTTTTTTTTTGAAAATACAGTACGTTGGGGCTGGAGCAATAGCACAGCGGGTAGGGAGTTTGCCTTGCACGCGGCCAACCCAGGTTCGATTCCCAGCATCCCATATGGTCCCCTGAGCACCACCAGGGGTGATTCCTGAGTGCAGAGCCAGGAGTAACCCCTGTGCATTGCCGGGTGTGACCCAAAAAGCCAAAAAAAAAAAAAAGAAAGAAAGAAAAGAACATACAGTACCTTAAAATACCCAGGTCATTTCCACTCAGATCTACCATTTTCAAGACCACCATTTCCTTGTCTACATCTGAAGAATATCTGGTCAGTAGAAAAAGGAAGAAAGTCAGTTAGAACCAAAGGTGAACCTTCTGAATAACATACAGTTGAAGCTGACATAAGAAGTACTTGACAGATGCAAAAAGAAGATTTGTCTTTGAAATTTCTATTACCAAATTTAATGGAATTTCTCCCCCAAAAAAGCATGGAATATGTAAAATCAAGAGTTCTAATGACCTGTAATTTAAAGTACTCTTTTATGTCCTTTCAAGAGAAATTAGATTGTTTTTGAAAAATCAACTTCTTTAAAAAGTGCTAAAATATGCAGAAAACCATGATCAAATTGAACTGAGGTGTTACTTTATACCAAGTAACCAAGTGTATATAATCACTGTATAATCACAGTAACCAAATACTTCTTTTCTGTCACAAAACTGACTCATTGCTTAAAATTAAAATAACAAGAACAACAAGTTAATGATCATCCTTAGTTGTTTTATTCAATATGCTAGTTTTACTTTTTCTAGTTTTATTTTCTTCCAGTTTTTTATTCTTTTGTCTCTTCTCTCACCATATTCTCTTAAATTAATATTCCCTGAATATCATAGTCACTCGTTTATTTAACATAAACCTATTGCATACATTTTTATTTCAATCTTACAAAGGAAGGAACTGAAAGTCAATAATTACTGAATGTCACATAACTATGAAAGAGAAAGCTAAGATGAAAGTCATAGTAGTGTCTGGATCCTACACTCAGTATCCTTCAAATATTAACATTGATTCTCACACCCAGCAAACTGGGAAGACTCCTGCTTGGGGGTATGTTTCTACCTTCAATATTCATTTCTGCTTGTTTTGATTTTAAATGGTTATTATATTTTCAATTGTTTCTAGAATTCCACTATTTTCCTCAAGTACCAAGATTTCCTTATTTTTAAAAATCAAAACACGTGGTATCATTTTGTTATCCCTCACCTTGATCTCTCTGACTCTGGATTCTGCAGGTAAGAAGTAGGGCTTCGATTGATCTGAGTCCCATTCACAATTCCTTTATTGATAAAGATTTTGCCTGGTTGCAGGTTTCTGTGTGCTATCTCAATGCTCTGCAGGTTAAAAACAGTTAAAAAAATTAATAATCCCTGCAGGGATAATGGCCTTGTCAGCATAAACAGAGATTCCGGTGGACAATTTCCTTTGTGTCCGACCTGTTTACGATGAAGGGGAATGCTGGAGTACTGCCACACAGGGAGTGTCCAGAGGTTAAAAGCAAAAGTCTGCATGGACGAGATAGAGAAATTCTGTGTGTAGGAAGGACTTTAATCTATCAGTTGGAGGGCTTTGTCTATCACAGCCATGGTTTAGGCATGCTCTCCCATTGCAAATGGCCAAACTGGGAAACATATCTGTGTTCCCACATTGTCTGCTATTTCCATCACACCCTCCTTTAACACCACCCATCTTTTCACTTTGTGAACCACAAACATTAGCACATTTTTCCTAACAATATATATCAAACTAGCCATATGCATATATATATGTATATATATACACATCTTACATAAATAAAAATTCACAAAACAAACTATATTCATACAAGATATTCTACACTATATGTTGCAATACATTTTGATTTCAACTTTTGATTCTTGTAGAATTCAATACTGCCAGTTTTATAAAGTCATTTATAGATGACCAAGTAGAATTTGAAAAATACTGTTATAAAGAGATAACCTCTGACAACTGGTTTTTTGAATGCTTGAGAATACTTTGAGAAATGTAGGGAGAGGCTGTATTTGAAAGGAAAAGGGATAAAGGAATTACTAGCAAGAATGCTATGGAATTATCTAACATGATGGAATACAGTAGAAAAAGGAATAAAATCTCTCATAGCCAGAAATGGGAGACATATTTGAGGTGACTATAAAAGTTTATATGAGTCTAGAAGGACTTGAAAACTGAGAGTGCATGTTCATAAATTGTATATAGTATGCTTTTAGATAAATACAAGAAAATGTTTTAAAATAAAAGGAAAATTGGAACTGTCTATAATTACTTAAAGCCCTATTGCGGGTTTTTTCATGACTTTGCACAGAGACTCGACTATGTGGTACCCAATAATTTTAAAAGGATTTCATGCAAAGTGGTTTGTTTCACGACTGCATGGTGTTTGCTATCACCACAGAACCCTCCGCTTCCAATCCAGTCAGGATCTCATAGATCATAAAACTGCACTCAGACCAAAATCTTCTAGAGACTCTTCAAATCACACCAAACTGCTCCAGAAAAACGTAAGCAACAGTGAACAGCTAACTTTCTCTGTGGCCTACCTTCACAATGCCAGAGACCATGAACTCAGAAGTTCGATTGCTGTATCCTTCACTGGCAATTACAAAGATGGTATACTGGAAATACCCCGCAGGACCAGAGTGTGTGTGAGTGCCACTCAGGATGACATTGTCTCTTCTATACAGGTTGCCATATTTACTCTTCAGTCTATTCAAGACCTTCAGGCAAGAAAGAGGAAAAAACAATTAAGAAGAAAATAATATAGGTGCTTAGTAAGAGACTAAACTTTGATGGATCCAATCACTGAGGCATATTCCTAACATTTCGTCAAGAGGCCTTTTACTCTATGCTTCAATGTATCCCTACAGTAGCGATAACCGTAATATCTAACATTACATAGATTTTTGCACTGTGCAAGCACAAAGCTAGGACTTTTTTTTTTCTTTTTGGGTCACACCCGGCGATGCACAGGGGTTACTCCTGGCTCTGCACTCAGGAATTGTCCCTGGCGGTGCCCGGGGGACCATATGAGATGCTGGGAATCTAACCGGGGTCGGCCGCGTGCAAGACAAATACCCTACCCGCCGTACTATCGTTCCAGCCCCAATGCTGAGATATTCAACAACCCCTAGAGATAGATGTTTTAGCTGAGAGCACTGAGGTTCACAGAAGTTCAATCAATTGCCCCACTGATAAATAGCAGAGCTAGTTCTGCAGCTCTAGCACTGATACTCTTACCCAGTAGCATTCATCAGACCCAAAGTATTAGTTCTTAGGCACAGCTTTAAGGACAAGGAATACATGGGGTTTCTGTTCTGACCAAGTTTCTATTCTAATGGGGAGGAAAGGTAATAAATACATGTGAAAATGAATCTGTGGGGAAATGAAGGACACTGACCCTCCTCCTCTGCTCTTTGGCTGGGAAGCCAGAGAGCAGCCAGGGAGCAAAGTGCAAGCATCAGCTTTGTGCACAGTACAGTGTCTGACTGTTCCCCACGCAGCAATCTTTCCCACGGCTATATCTAGATTGTTCTTTGCTTGGCCTTTGCTCTGGATGGTCTATAATTCCCTCCTGACAAGGCTGTAATGAAGTTAAGGCACCCTGACCAGCCTGCAGCGACTGGTCTAGCTTGCTGGACTGGTTTGGTGCAGCTTGCCTGACCACTCCTGCCTGCTGCTTCCCTTAGGAACAACCTGAAAGCCCCAGAGAGCACGTTCTTTGGGATTGAAACCATTCTGTACTAGCACTGGAAGATCTAGACTGGGAGCATGGTAATTTGCATGAGACATGTACTGATAAGTGTTATTATATATGTGTACAAATATGTGGAGATTGGGTAAGGAAAAGGAAAGTCATGAGAGAGGGGCTGTTTGCTTTTCACCTTTTTTTAAATTTGTATCTAAAACACTGTGATTCACAGTATTGAGACTGGCAGGGTTCCGTTCACAAAATGCTCCAACACCACCTTCTGCCCCAGAGTGCCAGCTTACTTCCCCCCACCCTGTCCCCGGCGTCCCTCTCCCCACCACCCTTTCACACCATCTTCTCTACAGTGCTCAGCTTCCTCTAGGACCAGTCTCAGATGCTGCGTGGTTGGGCAGTAGAGGTCGGCTGCTGGGGCTGGGTCCCTGGGGCTGAGGAGGGTGCCTTCACTGCTCTCACCCGCCCCACAGCCTGGCGTGGGGTCCGATGGCATGGTTCTGGGAGCCTCCTTTTATACTCCTATCTGGGAGGAGAATCCATGAGTTCTCTTAAATTATATATTAAATATATAAATTTAAATTATGTATTACTGATAATAATTATATACATGGGCTAGAGCGATCACAGCGGGTAAGGCGTTTGCCTTGCAAGTGGCCAACATGACCGACCTGAGTTCGATTCCTCTGCCCCTCGGAGAGCCCAGCAAGCTCCCAAGAGTATCTTGCCCGCACAGCAGAACCTGGCAAGCAACCCGTGATGTATTCAATATGCCAAACACAGTAACAACAAGTCTCACAATGGGGATGTTACTGGGCCCACTCGAGCAAATCAATGAATAACGGGAGGACCGTGACCGTGACCAATTATATACATAACAGTTTTATTTCAAAAATTCATACTCTTTAGTTTCTAAAATGGTGTCATCACTATGATCTTCAAAATAAAAAATTACTCTCTTGAATTCCTAAGTTAATATACTAAGCACAAAGCCTTTATTCCACAACAGCCTAATATGCATGGAAGGCCCTGTCTCCTATAAAGTTAACAAGTGCTTATAAATTGACTTGTGTAAAATATCATTGTTTATTTTAAATTCAGAGGCTTAGGGAATAAAGAGTAAATTATGGTTTCTTGGCAGAGAGAACATTGAATTCCATCTAGTATCAACATTTTGTGTATCAACATTTTTTTTTCCCCTTTATTTTATTTTATTTTTTTTAAAGTTGTAGATTTACAATTTTTTGTGCTTTGGTTTCAATTATACAATGATCAGATACCCATCCCTCCACCAGTGCCCATTTTCCACCACCATGGATAATATCCCTCCCACCCCCATCCCCCCATCCCCCCGTCTCTGTGGCAGGGCAATCCCCTGTGTTCTCTCTCTCCTTTTGGGTGTTTTGTGAGATAGAATTTGAATTTTTTCTTCAAACTTTATTTTATTTTATTTTGTTTTTTGGACCACAGGTGGCAGTGTTCAGGGCTTGTTCCTGACTCTGTGCTCAGGGATCTTACGATCCTGGTGGTGTTCACAATTATAGAGTCCCAGAGATTGAACCGAGTTAGCTGCACTGTAGCACTATGCTCCCATTGTTCATTGATTTGCTCGAGTGGGCCCAGTAACGTCTCCGTTGTGAGACTCGTTGTTACTGTGTTTGGCATATGACTATGTAACGGGTAGCTTGCCAGACTTTGCCATGCGGGTGAAATACTCTCGGTAGCTTGCCAAGCTCTCCGGGAGGGGCAGAGGAATCGAACGCAGGTCGGCCAGGCTGGCCGCATGCAAAGCAAAGGCCCTACCGCTGTGCTATCGCTCCAGTCACAGAACTCAAAAGAGGAAGACCATTCTGTATCTGTCCCTCTCCTCGCTAGCTTTACTCAGCATATTTAACTTTTTGACTAACTCAATCATTTCATTAAATAATTGGTTAATCATAGACTAAAAAAGATAGCTGAAACCAATAATCGTGAAGGGGTGTGGAGTTAGTGTTTGGAGTCAACGTTGTCATTAAAAAAAATTTTTTTTAATTGAGATTCTGTGGTTTACAACTGTTACTAACAGTTTCTCGTGCCCATAATTCGAATATCACACCTAGGAAAGTGTCTTTAATGAAGGAAGATTCGAGTACAAGCTGGGTCTGCAACCTCAGACAGAGAAGTGTCCTGTAGGAAATAGGAAATATATTGTATCACTTAATCACTTAACTTCCCGTTAGTCGTCGATTTGCTCGAGCGGGCGCCAGTAACGTCTCCATTTGTCCCTGTCGCGTGCTAATGTAGCCCAATGGCATCTCTTCGCTCCGGGAACATGGAGGGCTTCAAACCGATCGTTCATGATCTTGACAAAGAAGTCTGACCATCTGGTAGGTGGGCGGCCACGCGGTCTCTTGACATCCCGTGGAATCCAATCAGTAACAGCTCTAGTCCAACGGTCGTCTTTAAATCTCATTACGTGACCAGCCCATCTGATTTTCGACACCTTGGCAAATGAGACAGCGTCCCTGATCCTTGATCGTCGACGGATGTCAGAACTCCGGATTCGTTCTCTCATTTGAGTGAAACGTGATATTCCAAGCATAGCTCTTTCTATTCTTCTTTGGGAGACCTGAATGGCGTTCTCATCTTGTTTGCATAGGGCCCAGGTCTCTGAGGCATATGTTAATGCAGGAAGAACAGTGGAATCAAAGAGATGTGCCCGGAGCCAGAGGTTCTTCGTCCTCTTAGCTATTTCTTCGACGTTCTTGAAGGCGTTCCAAGCCTTTTTATTGCCTCACTTCTCAAAATGATGAAGTCAATATTCATGGACAAACTACTGGTCTAAGGGAAGCTAGCTTTTCTTACTTAAGGACACCCAGCAATCTGAATGAAAGGAAACCATGTGGAAGAGAACCATTTTGTCAGCCCTCTCGTGCTAGCCCAGTAGGGAGCAACTCGAAGTAGACCCTTGGCTTCAGTCAGGTCTTAGAACCCTGCAGTTCCCACACATTTGAGTTCAATCTCAGCACAGAAAAGACTTGTTTTAATTTAATATTTAATTTAATTTAAGATTCATGCTCTAAGTTAGAAGTTCCAAATCTTCAGTTTTCAAACTAAAGAAAAGGACTACAAATAACAAAAATCTTATCCTAAACTTCAATCTCTGATATAAGGTCAGATACAGAGGACATCTGGGGAAAAGAAATTTGAAGTCCAGTTATCTAATAACAAAGCCTGCAAATACTCATCATGAATAGCATGCTTCCTATTCCTATGGGAGGAGCATTTTGAGATACTGTATTAATATCTAAAGTTTAATTCTTTATCTTTATCCCCCCGCCCCTTGCTTTTAGTGACACTCTTGGGAACATGACATTGAGTAGGAAGTCATCTGTCTCTGCAGTGTGTCTCTGCTCAGAAATCTTCCTTGAAATATTCAGTGCTAGAAATTTCATCAGTCCTAAAGTGGAAACTGAGAACTTGCCAGAAACTATAATAAATAAGATAGACAACTATCCACATACATTCATTTTCCACAATTTCCTTTGTTTCTCGGAATTACAAAGTGGGTTCATTTAAAGGACTTTGCACTGGGGACAGATAGGAAGAGACAATAGCATCTACAAATCAGCACATTAAATCTTCTTCCTCTCCACACTCCAAACCTGCGAGCCTATGTTTTGACACTTCTATTTTTGCAAAGGACTCTTCACCATTTTCCCAATCAGAACCATCTCTGACTCATCAGAAAAGCAGTAATACAGAAGTAATGAATGTGGGCTCCTGCACCAAGATACTCGTCTAATGCTATGTGCTGTGTTCTCTTGGACAAGTTATTTGACTCTGCAATTTAGTTTCCCAATTGTCAAATTGCATACCTTGTCAAATAGTACCTGCCCTTATTTTAATTGTTTGGTGGATTAATTAAAATATATGTGAAGTAGCTGGAGGATTAAATGGAAATATACATGAAGCACTTTGAATACTTCCTGATTCATCATGAGAATAACGTCAACAGCTGATATGCCCTAACTTGTTAATATTTAACTTGATAATGAGAAAAACAACCTCATTCGATCCCTGGCATCCCATATTTCCCCCCAGGCACTGCCAGGAGTAATTCCTGAGTGCAGAGCCAGGAGTAACCCCTGTGCATTGCTGGGAGTGACCCAAAGAGCAAAAAAAAAAAAAAAGATATTTTGGGGCTGGAGCAATAGCACAGCAGGTAGAGTGTTTGCCTTGTATGCAGTCAACCCAGGTTTGATTCCCAGCATCCCATGTGGTCCCCCAAGCACTGACAGGAGTAACTCCTGAGTGCATGAGCCAGGAGTAACCCCTGTGCAATGTCGGGTGTGACCCCCCCCCAAAAAAGAAAACCAATCTCTTCCTCTTACTACCATGATGTCTCATTGGTCCCCATTTAGGATTTTCATGACAGTCTCACATGTTATTGGGTAAATTACCAAATCATGACAAAACAAAATTGTTACTACAATTGAGGTTACCAAGAGTTGTGGGGAGAGGTGTTGGGGATGGATAGGAAGAGATGGACTTGAAGTGCCATAAAGACATGGTGGAGGATTTCTAGCACTTTGGCAAAGGTAAAAATAAATTTGCACACCAAAATCACAAAAATGGACACTATTATAAATGATGCTCTTCAATAATAAAAATAACCATATAAAATAGATAGGAAAATAGTTCTGCCTCCTGAGTTTCCTTTCTAGCTGTTTCAGCTTCTCAATACATCATAAAATTCATGGATGAAATATTCTGTATTTGAAGTACCAAATGTTATTACTGTTTCTCAACAGAGCCCTTATACTAACAGAAATAATCTGTTCATTTGTGGTGTAACCTTAAATTCCAGTCTGATCATTTACCTCAAATATCACTGAATAAACATCCTAAGGCAAAATTGTGCACGCATCACTTCTCTACTTAAAAGTCTCTGAGAACTCCCTATTACCTGCCAAATTGTACTCAGTGTTGTATCCCAGGACCTCGACAATTATGACAGCACACTTTCCCTAGATGATACATCTTCCATTGGGAGACAGAGCTCCAATTACATGTCTACATGTATCCTAGCAGAACTGATATTATTCCTTCAAAAAAAAGCTTCCTTTCTCCCTATTTCTCCCTATATCCATGTTCTCTGTATCCCTGTGTTAACCTCAAAATCTTCTGCCCATTCAATGCTGGGTAATGAGGCTCAGTAGTAGTACACCTTATATGTCTGAAGCCCTGGATAACAATCCCAGGCACAGAAAAAAAATCAAACAAACAAGTTAAGCAATTAATTAAATCCTGACCACTGAAAGGGGGACTAGGAAAATCTGCTGAGTCTATTGCATGGTTAAATGTTTTAATGTAATAGTACTTCAGTTTTTTAAACGAATAAAATTCTACCATTTCATTTTTGAAATTTCTCCCTAATTTCCCTTTTTTGAGGATATGGGGGAACACCCAGTGGTGTTCAGGGAGTACTCCTAGAGGCCTCAGGGAATCATTTGTAATGCCGATCAAACCTGGATCAATCACCTTATCTGCTGTACTATCTCTACAGTCCCATCCTCCCTAATTTCCAAATCCTCTTGGTAGTTTTGGGGGAAAAAAAAGTTTTTGTTTTTATGCCACAACTGGCAAGTGCTCAGGGATAACTCCTGGATTTGTGTTCAGGGATCATTCCTGGTAGGACACATGGGCCATATGTGGTATGCCAGGAATTGAACCCAGATCTACTGCATGCAAGGCAAGTGCCTTAAACACTGGCCTCAGTTTTAAATTTGATACCCCTACTATCAAAGAGGGAAACTTAACTTTACTACCTTTTAGTGAAATTAGCTAAGTGACTGACTTGCTTCTAATGAACAGGATAGAGTGAAAGTGATGGTGTTTTTTCTAAGGTCAGATCAGACAAGACACTGTGATGCCTTCTGTTCTTTCCCTTGAGTTACTTGTTCTGAGAGAAGCCAGCTGCTATGTCATGAAAAATTCAGAACAATGAGGAACTAAGGTCCTTTGGGAAAAGCCATACAAGTGAATCTCAGTAGAAGTGGAACTTCAAGCCCTAGCTAAGTCTTCAGATGACTAACTCCTTTGCCAACATTTTGATTTCAAGATACCCTAAATCAAAACCACCTCATTAAACCTGTCCTGAATTCCAGACATAGAATGCATTCAGATCATGAATGTTGTTTTAAGTCACTGTATTTTGGGACTGCTTATTGTTCAGTGATCATGATCACGACCATCCTGTCGTTCGTTGATTGCCTCGAGCAGGCCCCAGTAACGTCTCCTTCGTCCTAGCCCTGAGATTTTTTAAAAAGTGCCATATTAAAGGCTCTTCCAGGGTTAGGAGAATGAGACCCATCATTGTTACTGATATTTGGCATATTGGGTAGGCCACAGGGAGTTTGCAAGACTCTGCCGTGTGGGCAGGTTACATTTGGTAGCCTGCCATTTTGTCCAAAGTAAGAATGAGATAATAATGTGTCGTGTGGCCGCAAATGCGGCCACACGCTTCTGGGAGCTGGGTTTTATAATCTCTGGGTCTTGGCCATTGATGGGATTACATGGCGCCAGGGGGCCAGTTGGTGGGTGTGACCCCTGCTTACTGGAATTTGGAGGATCTGGGTGGAGGATGCTCAGCCCCGATCCGAGCAGGCTTGGAGATCTCAGCCCCGGGGCCCGCATGCCTTTGTTCCTCTACCAGTACCTTCATGCATGTGGAGAATGGTCTCAGCTCCGGTGAGGCAAGGTGCGGGGTCAGGAGACTCATTGTTCAGTGGAACAAAACTAATACACCAATGTACTCCAATTAATTGTGGTTATTTGCTTATTTTTGTTATAATTCTTCCTCCCATTCCCCAACCAAGGAGAGAGTTCACAGGGATAGTGGATTATGATTCACTTAGCTGCATTTTCCCTGAAGGAATTATCGAAGTACCTTGCGAAAAAAATTGGTGACTAATGCATGTCCCCCCTAAAATAATAGAATAATGCCACATTATATAGTAAAGTTATGTTTCAGAGTGTGGATTCTGGAACCTGTGCCCAGAATGTATGTGTGTCCAGAACCCAGTTTTGCTATCTGCTGGCTACAAATTTGGTAAAGACACCCTTCCTTAAGACTCCTTATTCATACAATGGTGACAATAGACTCACTTCAGTTTTGTGGGAAATGTAAGCATAAGACACATAATTCCCTACTCTTCCTGCTTCTATTCCCCAACCTGAGAGGGAATAACCCTGGAGAAACATTTTTACATGCTTCCATCACTCTCTCTAACTGGTCCTGTCACACAGCAGAAGCAGCATTTCTAAGTGACATGGACAGAATTTGCCACTGAATTGGGGTTTTAGTGGTCATTGTTCTAGGTATTCCGGACTTTCTTTTTTTCTTGCATTTGTGAATATGTCAGTAGACATCTAAAAAGCACTATCTGCGATCTGATCCCATGTAGGAAATCTAACTGGGTCGGGACCTAGGAAAGGACTTAGACAGACCTGGATGTCCACCACCTGTCTCTCTTTGTTTCTCTGCCCGTTTTCCCCATCTCCCTCACCCCTACCCACTCTCCTCTTTCTGGTTCACATAACACAGGCAGGTCAAGACCCCTTCCCTTGTACCTTTCTGCTAATTTCAACCTCTCTACATGTGAACAGCAAAATCTATTACTGGAAGTTGGGGCTGGGAATCGGGCGGTGGTGGTAGGGGAATAGAAAAGTCTGACATGTTCCACCATGCAGTAAAAAATAGGAGATGGCACGTTATTTTAAAATTTTATTATGGAGGCTTGCTCTTCAAGCCCCTGTTCTTCTTTGAACATATATCTCACTTGCTTATCTCTATACATCTTTGCTTGCTTACTTTCTCCACTCTGGAGAAGTTTGTGTTCTCTCTTAAACACATCCTTCTTTTCTTTCTCTCCCCTCACATCTTCCTAAGCAAGTTTTGTCCAATAAGAACTATTTTGCTTCACAATGGATAAACAAATAAAATTTTAAAATGTAAGTTTACCAGCACATCCCCCCAAATTAGAATGGTATATCGAGACCTCCATGTGACTGTTTCCCAGTTTCTGTGATTAATGGTCAACCTCACTTCAGTAGTATATTTTCATTCCCATCGGTTTTCCTGCATATATTCTCCACTATCTAAAGACTTAAAAGGAGGACTAGTGATTGATTAGTTGGTGTTCTCAGACTTACATCACAGGGATTAAATGAAAGAATGTATGTGAAGCTCTCCTGAAAGCTTTCTGAAAACTAGCATTAATAATGGTGTGAAACATTAGCTGAATTGAAAGCAACGTTGGCCAAAAGGATTTCAAGTGAGAACCTAGGCAGGAGAGATAGTACAAAGGCTAATACACTGGAGACTACAGGTGCAACCCTGGCTCAAATTTGGGCCCCACCAGGCAAGGACCCTGAATTCAACGAGATATGGCTCTTGAACACCACCAGGTCTTACCTTAGGGTCCCCAAATATGAAAAATAGTCATTTAATATAATTGTCTGTTGGACTATCACGCTCATTCGGGATATTGATGGTAGCAAAAATTTATTGGACGAAAAAGTCAGAGAACTTGGTCACTATCATATTCATCCACATACTTTTCTTTGAATCATGACATTTCTTTCATCTCTTTTATGACATTTATTGTTTCATTAATGAATTTTTGATTTATCAAAGGTGATTAGAATCACTTACCTCCAGCCTGAGTCGTTGGGAAACCATGCCTATATCAATGCTGACAAACACAGTTCGATTTGACCCATCAGGTTCTGCCATGATGAAAGCACGACTATACAGTCTGGTGAGGAGACCTCGAGCTTTCTGACCAGATTTGCTGTAACCCATCTGCAAAGGAACAACCAGCCACTTTATCACACTCGCCTGCTGCTAGAAACTGGCATGACCATACAAGGACACTTAAGACAAAGGAAAACATAACACTGTGGTTCCAAATCAGATGATGGACATGCTTTCAAGAATGACCCCAACATTATAAGAGAAAATTTGGTCTTTGTAAAGGTAAGGTAAAGGTAAAGGCCCTCCTGTTGATCATCAATTTGCTCGAGCAGGCCCAGTCTTTGTAGAAAAATATAAATTTATCATTCAGCAAAACCTAAACCTGTTAAATGATCTACTGATGAGTAAGAAGCTGGTGTGACTTGAGAATATTACTACCACTCTTGAGAGCTTTTAAAGCCTTTATTTTGAAGACAAAATGTTTTTTCCTACCTGTCCAATCAGTACACAAGGAAATTCTTTCCCCAGAACCATCCCACATTGCTCGGGAGCAACCTGAAAACTGAAGCTACTCTCACTATTTATGGCATGAATCCCCCCACCTCCCACCCCCAGTAATCTTTACTAAGGGCAACTCACCCTGGTTTTAATTATGGTGTCCCTCCATAAGCTAAATCAGATCAAATCAACCTGCCCCCAGTTCCTTCTCTCACCATAAATCCCACCTTTAAAAGCTAACCCAAGTCTTCAGAATTCTTCCTCCTCTGCTTTCTCTACCCATTGTGAGATTTTTTTTTAGCTTTTTGGGTCACACCTGGCAATGCACAAGGGTTAATCCTGGCTCTGCACTCAGGAATTACTCCTGGCAGTGCTTGGGGGACCATATGGGATGCCAGGGATCGAACCCAGGTCGGTCGTGTGCAAGGCAAACACCCTACCCAATATGTTATCGCTCCGGCCCCGAGATTTTTTAAGATTCATATTTTATTCACTTTTCATGAAGTCAGCAAGTTTAGCTAGAACCTAAAATTATTTGGTAGAAGGGAAAAAGTCTCCTCAAACAGCCTCACAGTTTTATATCTTCAGGTAGAACTGACATCAATGATACAGCCCCTTCCCACCACGATCTGCTACCTGACAACAGTAGAACATTCCTGTAAATCTTTTGGATTCCCCAATGGCACTACTTCCCAGCTATCTGAACGATGCCACTCTGTTGATTAAACATCCGGGGGGTTCTCCTTGAGGTGAGAGATCTTCAGAGACATCACTCCAGAAATGACAAAGGTCTGTACCAATGGGGGTGCCATCTCCCCATCATTTATAATTTGCTGTGGTTAATCTTTGCTCCTTGATTACAAGCAGTTTGGGTTTGATTCCCCCCAATAACCCATAGGATCCTCCAAGGGTCCAGGAGTGATCCCTGAGTTCAGAGCCAGGAGTCATTCCCAAGCCTCACCAGATGTGACCCCAAAACCTTATAAATAAAATATAATCATGAGGAGCTCATGATGTACCTACCAAATTGATTTCAGACACCTGTCCTGTGCAGTCAGCTCGCCCTACACCAATATGGTAGCCACTGAAGTTCTGAAACAGAGGAGGCTCTGGGGTGGTGGTGGTCTTTGAAGTCTCAGTGCTGGTGGGGTGGACTGAACCATGAGTGGTTGTGGGGGCTGTGGAACTCACAGTGGTGGAAGGGTTCTGGGTGGCTGGGAATCCTGAATCTATAACCAAAAAAAAAAAAATACTTTTTTTAAGAAACTAACATTTCAACTCTGGGATGCCCTCTGGAGGGGGCAGGGCAAATCCCCACCCTGCCAAAGCCCCAGCAGTCATACCCATAGCCCACAAATGCCACCAAACCTAAGACCCAACTCCAGTGCTTCATGACTAATTTCTGCGAAGACACCAAACTGACAAAAATCCCAGAGAAACCAGTTTTCAGGTTGAAAACTCTGGGTCTTCTAGGAGTGGGGGTAGGCAGCCTCCCCGCCATCCACGCACTTCTGGAAACCAGGCAGCTACACCCACATCCCACAATTGCCACCATGTAAACTCAAGGTCCAGTTATAGATCCTGGAGTTGCAACCCTGCAACACTTCCAAATTCTACAGTATCCCAGTAGGAGCACACTAAAATAGATGGGAAAGTAACGTAGAAGCCAATTAAGCTCAATAAACAATAACACAGAAGTCCCAGCTAGCAACAAACAGCTTAGTGAACTCTAAGACAAGGACTTAGAATGGTGAGATACAACACTTTCACAATTTTTCTTTTATTGATATATATATATATATATTTATAATTCCATTAGCCATTTTGTTGTAACTAGGAACAGAGAATAAATTATTTGTGTCTATGAAGGGGGCAGGCCTGGCGGTGGTTCAGAAAATGTGGATAATGGTGGAGCAAAGGTCACACTGGTGATAGGATTGATGTTGGAACATTGAATGCCTGTAATAATTGTATGAGGAACAACTTTGTAAACCACCGTATTTAAATATAGGGGAAAATAATAAAACTAAGAATAGGCATGATGATGAATCTTCTCCTACCAATTAAAAAATATGCAGCACCACATATTTTTAAAATGCATTCAGTAAGAGCTGAAATTTTATCTATAAAATGCATAATTATGGTTTTGACTTTAAAAAGTGAAACATTTCAGCACACTTATTTTTTACCATGGGCTGGAGCGATAGCACAGCGGGTAGGGTGTTTGCCTTGCACACAGCCAACATGGCCAACTCGAGTTCGATTCCTCCGCCCCACTCGGAGAGCCTGGCAAGCTACCAAGAGGATCTCACCTGCTCAGCAGAGCCTGGCAAGCTACCGAGATATATTCGATATACCAAACACAGTAGCAACAAAGTCTCCAATGGAGACGTTACTGGGCCCCGCTTGAGCAAATCGATGAACAACAGGAGGACAGTGACACTGATTCTATTTTTTACCATAAATAAGAATAAGTAGATCCAGTTTCCTGAGGAAAAGTCTTTGTATATTCTTCTCTCACAGGAAAATTACTCAACCAAGATTTCATAGTGAACAAACTAACTCCTTTAACTCAGAATCTGATGCTTTTTGCAACAATATTCTGAATGGAGTTGAAATTCTATCTTCTCATCCCCAAGCCACATTTGCTACAAGGTACCAATATCTGAGCCTGGCAAGCTCCCTGTAATATATTCGAAATGCCAACACAGTAACAACAAGTCTCACAATGGAGACGCTACTGGGCCGCTGGAGTAAATAGATGAACAACAGGAGGACAGTGACAGTGACCAATATCTCAAGGAAGGAAGCAGACATATTTAATCTTGCTTAACTGGTTCTAATGACTGGGGTACAACCAAAGCCAAACCTAGTCAGAACCAAAGGCAAGTTATTTGCATATTCTATCTCTATTTCCTCATCAATAAAAAAACACTAAGACCTATAGATAAGTTTTATGTGAATCAAATGAGAAAATGATCTAGACTACTGATGATACAAATCATTCCATTAAAAGCAACTTCTTCAACTTTGGTACATCTATGCAATGGAGTACTATGTAGCTGTTAGAAAAGATGAAGTCATGAAATTTACATACAAGTGGTACTACATGGACAGTATCATGTTAAGCAAAATGAGTCAGAAAGAGCGGGATAGACACAGAAAGATTGCATTCATCTGGGGAACATAAAGTAACAAAATAGGAGACTAACACCCACGAATAGCTAAGTAACAGGAGGTTCACTCCATGCTTGGAGGCCAGCCGCACATGCTAGGGGAAAAGGCAGCTCAGATAGAGAAAGAAGCACCAAATAAAGGGTGTTGGGAGGATCTTCCCAGGATGGGAGATGCATGCTGAAAGTAGACTACAGACCAAACATGATTGCCACTCAATGCCTCTTTTGCAAACCACAGCACCCAAAAGGAGAGAATAAAGGGAATGCCCTGCCACAGAGGCACAATGAGATGGGGGATGGGGGGTGGGAAGGATACCGGGATTCTTGGTGATGGGAAATGGGCACTGGTGGAGGGATGGATTCTCAAACATTGTATAATTGAAACCCAAGCACAAAAATTTGTAAGTCTACAACTGTACCTCATGGTGTTTCACTAATAAAAATTTTTTTAAAAAAAGCAACTTCTTCAACATCAAACATTGACAACTTCCCTAAACTTGTCTTCACATCTTCTCATTTATGAGCAAAAATTAAACAATTTCTATAGATCCCTTGATATTCAGAAATCTAAGACCCTGACCTCAGCGGATCTTTTCCTCTGAGAACACATTCCGGAATGCAGAACACAGGAACCTTGTAGAGTACACATAGAAAAGATGTAAAGAACTCTAAATCAAAAACCAAGAGGAATGATTCAGGGAGAGATCACGGGGACCAAGGATGTAAGCTTATACATGCTGCATGATCCCGTGAGCATCACTGGTTTGGCCCTGGAGCGCATTCTCCATTTTGAGCCAGGGCAGGTAAGGTGGCTGCTGTGGTCCCCAATGCCATGCAGTATCCGCACCTTAGCATTAAACTGTCCTGCCTGATAGGCTGGGAAATGCCAGGGGTGGTCCCAGGTCCCAGACACTGCTTGGGAGTCTCCTCCCCCCTTCCACCACCACCACCACCACAAATGCTGTCTCCTCCATTGACCTAAAACCAATCCTTTCTCTGACTAAGCAGTCAATCTCCATTGTTTCTCTTCTCTACAGATTGGGAAGTGCCTCTCAAGCAGTTCTCAGTGGCCTTGGGGGCTACTGCCTGTGCTAATTGGTCAACTGAGCCAGCGGTCTAGTCCTAGATTCTGAGAATCAACCACCAAAACCACCTCAGCATGCTCAGGGCCTTTGAGGGCTACACCCAGCAGTGCATGGCGCCTCCAGAGCTGTACTCAGTGACAGTCAGGCAACCATGTGGGATAGAAATGGGGCAGACATACGCCCTGATCTCTGTACTAAATTCCCAGCTTCATCCCTACAGATTGTAAACCGATACACAATTTAACACCAAAGAAAAGGCTTCATCACAGACCCATAGTTTAAAATTGTCTATAAATGTAACCTAGTTTTTAAATACTATTTTTCCAACATTAGAAAGGGTGTGGGGGAGCTGGAGAAATAGTGCAGAGGTTAAGGCATTTATCTTGCATGCAGCTGACTCAGGGTTAGTCTCCAGCACTATGTATGGTTCCCTGAGCACCTTCAGAAGTGATATCTGAGTGTACAGCCAGCAGAAAGCCCTGAGCACCATCAGGTGTGGCCTCAAAATAATAATAAATTTAACTTAGTGACTATGAGTGTTCTTTTAAAAAAAAGTGAGAAAAAAGTTCTAAAAGCCCCAACTTCAAGGTTCTTTGGAAAATTCCAGAGATCCAAATCTATGTGATGACAAGTTAACAAACAGGGGGTCCGCAGGAAAGATTACAGATGCCCTGCTCCAGAACTGAAACTGCCCCTTCTGGTCCACCTCACATTTTATAAGCCCTCATAAGGAATTAAAGTCTTCCTCTTTTCAATTTTTTACAGGCAAATTGATTGCCAATGGATTTTTCATTTCCCTTTTGTTCCCAGCAGATGATGATGCCCCCCAAAGAGTAAAGTATCTAGAGGTTCAAGTATCTTAAATGGAGCTGGGAGAATATTTGGGGGGATGGGGACACTTGGAGGAACTTAGGGACATTCCCTGGTTCTGTGCTCACCACCACGGCAGTAGCCAGGATATCTTATATGTTGTCAAGGATTTGAACCACGGACCTGCAAGGGTCAAGGACCTTGAATAGGTCAGTGAACAAATAAAGGACAAATAAGTAATATATGAGGCAAAGGTAAACTTGGTAAAAATTGATTTTTCAAAAGTATAGAAATGATATTCAATGAATGATTAAATGATCACCTTGGACTTAAGTAAACATTGAACTTTTGTGCTATCAGCATTTTCAGGAAACACTCCTGTATTGCTGTCCTCAGTATTTAGTAGTAATAGCATGCAAGATAATCGCCTTGATACTTACCTTTATGATTTTCAATGGTCCCACTGGTGATAAACAAGAGGCTGAGAAGAGCCACCGTGATCGCAGTCATCATCACAAGGACAAAAATGAGGAATATCTCCAGTGTGGAAAAGGTGCGCTTGGCCATGTCTCCTGGGGGAAAAAGGAAATGGACAAAGATAGATGGAAGGGACGAAAATATACAGAATCATTAATTGAAATGCATGTGATTAGAGCTGCCAAGCCTTAAGACATCATATCACTTTTAGATGAATAGACTACCCCATCATGAGCAAACACAAATCCAAATCCAGTTGTCACTATTTCTATACCCCAAGCCCAGAGAGGATAAGAGCAATGGCATTTCTTTTTTTTTCTTTCTTTTTTTTTGACACTATGCTTTTTTTCGGGGGGCGGGGATTTTTTTTTATTGAATCACCGTGAGATACAGTTACAAAGTTTTCATGTTTGAGTTTCAGTCATACAATGATCAAAAACCCATCTCTCCATCTGTGCACATCTTCCACTAACAATGTCCCCAGTATGCCCCCATCCCACCCCTCCCCCGGTCTCTATGGCAGACAATTTCCCCCAAACTCTCTCTCTACTTTGGGCATTATGGTTTGCAATATAGATATTGAGAGGCTATCATATTTGGTCCTTTTTCTATGTTTAGCCCACATCTCCCAACCCGGATGATCCCTCCAACCATCACTGACTTAGTGATCTCTTCTCTTAGTGATTCCAACTGCCTTCTCCCCCAGCTCATGAGGAAGGCTTCCATCTAGGGAGCAATATTCCTGGCCCCTGTCTCTACTGTGCTTAGGTGTCAGTCTCATATTATGTTATTTTATATTCCACAAATGAGTGCAGTACTTCTATGTCTGTCCCTCTCTTTCTAACTCATTTACTTAGCATGATCCTCTTCATGACCATCTACTTATAAGCTAATTTCATGATTTCATCCTTCCTAACAGCTGCATAGTATTCCATTGTGTAGACATAGCAACGTTTCTTTAATCTGTCATCTGTTCTTGGGCACTTGGGTTGTTTCCAGATTCTGGCTATTGTGAACAGTGCTGCAATGAACATACAGGTGAAATGTCATTTCAACTGTGCTTTTTTGCACCCTCGGGATATATTTCCAGAAATATTGCTGGGTCATATTTCTAGTTTTTTAAGGAATGCCACAATGGTAAGTTGAGATTTCTTCTCAGCACTGGGTACGTCTTGTTAGTAACCTTTCTTCACTTGACCAATATGAAAAAATATTTTTATGTTCCTTGACTGCATTATAGAAGCTTTCATTTATAATGTCAAATATGCTTTCATAGATCTGTATCTGGGTCTAGGTGGAAAATTTCTGTTACAGGGATGACTGATATACCCACAATTGCCTATACTTATGAAAAGGCTGCCTGGAGTCAGGGCTACACTCTGCAAAATTAATTTGTTTATGTGTTGGAGAAAACCATTCATTTTGATCCTTAAAACCTTATTCTGAGGTGATAGCTCAAAGGGCTGGAACACATTCTTTGCACATGCTGCCCCAAGCACTACCAAGTACCATCCCTGAGGAATGAGACAGGAGTGGCCCTCAAAAACCACTAAAACAAACAAAGAACAACAACAAAAAAGTTTACTGTGTTTTGACTTTCAAATAGTACTTTATGAATATGGAAAAAGACTCTCTACTCTTTGCTGTCTTTAAAGAATGTTTATATGAAGATTTGTATTTTTGGTTTTTGGGCCACACCTGGCAATGCTCAGGGGTAACCCCTGTTTCTGAACTCAGAAATTACTCCTGGAAATGCACAAGGGACCATATGGAATGTTGGGTATCAAACCCAGGTCAGTTACATGCAAGGCAAGATTCCTACAGCTCTACAATTGTTGCGGCCCCCTGTATGTGGAATTATAAGGGCTTACTGGAATCACCAGTAAGAATATATCAGTTCCCGGGAACCTCTGATTCTGGAAGTCATGCCCACAACCCGTTCCCCCAGCGCCATCTTTACAGCACACAGCCGCAGAGAAGAAAGGCCGTGGGGAGTGGGGGGCGGGGGGGGACTCCACAGCTCCCGGAGAAAGCACCAGGTCCCAAAAAGAGCCAAGATCACCGGGAAGTCCCAGATGGGGTAGGTGCCACATCCGGCCTCCTCCAGATGGAACCCAGGTAACCAGAAGCCTCTACAAGCATAGCTCGAATATGCGGGAACCAGGACTTTTACTCCAAACCGCAGGGCCATGTAAGCTGTGTGGCCTATATACAAATGACATCTCCCTATATACAAAGTGATCAATGGAAAGTAAATCATCCAACGTTTCTCCCTGAAAATCAGGCTTAACTCTTATACAAACCACAACACCCAATAGGAGAGAGAGAACAAAAGGGAATGCCCTGCCAGAGACAGGGTGGGTTGGGTGGGGTGGGGAGGTGGGAGGAATACTGGGATCTGCGGTGGTGGGAAATGGTCACTGGTAGAGGGATGGGTATTCAAAATAAATAAATTTTTTAAAAAGAGAAAAAAAGAATATATCAGTGCCTTTTGAACCTTTCAAGCAGTGCTCAGGGAAGCTGGGGAACACTTTTTGTGATTCTCAGCCAACCAGAGCAAACCATTCAACGCTGGGACCTGAGAACACTTCGATCAGCTCTGTGGATTAACCAGGCCTCTGGGACAATACCTATGCTCAATGGGTCATGCTATGGCTGAGGATCATTCCAGGATTAGACAAATGCAATAATGCATCTCAACCCCTGTACTATCTCCCTAGATCCACGATCCCTTATTTTAACCAGGCATTAGGAAGCCTGAGTAGTAAAATTAGAATGGAAATGCAAGACTTGTCCCTAAATAGGAAACATTTGGCCAAGATGCAGCTAACTCCAGAATCACAAATTGTAACAAGGCAATTATGAATTTTTGTGTCAATTTGACTGAGTTGCCAAATAAAAGGACTTGTATTTTATCTATAGACAATTTACAAATATGAAAATTCAAAATCTCTCAAAATATTTGGTAAAATATGGCAAACTGAGCCAGCACTTCCTATGCCAAGTTTCATAAAACTTACCTAGCTGCTCTTCCCTTTGGTTGGGGAATGGCTTCATCCTGTCATAATCCCAACCCATGGATTTTATCAATCTTAAATTACTATCTAATCTTTGTACTCATTGCATTTTGCAATCCCTGAACTATAAGTTAAAATCAGTTAAGCAGCAAGCACTTTCATATATAGGGCTAAACCTGGAGTTAAGAGAAAAGGCTAGGAGGCCAAAAGAGAACTCAAAAGGCTGAGTGCTGGGACCTGTGGGTTCAACTACTGGCCGCAGATGGCATCCATGGCATCCAGGGAGGGACAGAGAGAGGGAAGGGGTTCAGGGGGAGGGGGAGAGGGGGGAAGGTAAGAGAGAGGGAGAGAGGGAAACAGGGAGAGAGGGAAGGAGGGAGGGAGGGAGGGAGGAAGAGAGGGAGGGAGGGAGGGAGGAAAATATTGCAATATCATCCCAAGTACCCTGTCTATTGGTTATGGTTATTTCTCCATCTATTTACCACTACTCTCATACTTACCACTACCAACTCAAACAATTTCACATTGAAGATAAAACAAATTAGTTCTTTCTTGGTTCAAAACTCAGCCCTGAGTCAGGAAATACATATAAAATATATCTAAAGTTTTAGTGACCTAGAGAAATTCACTAGTCATTAGCCCATGTGTCAGTAGTAAATTTCCAACCCACTATACCAAGTTCTTGCTTCAGTTTCTAAGCTCAAAGCTTAATTTGCACAAAGAGAACAAAAATGGAAGACAGACAACTGGACTTCTCAACTGCCAAGCATCTAGCTCCAAATATCCTACAAAAATGTTACCGGGATAAAGGTCTGCATTTAAAAAAGAAAATCACTGCACAAAACCATGCCTTTCTTTTTTTACTTTTTCTTGTTCTTCTTGTTCTTCAACTTCTTCTTCTATGCTTTGCTTTCTTTTTTTTTTTTTGCTAGCTTTGTAAACAAAGTGACTAATTACCATCATGGACCCAAGTCAACAACACAACAACACTTGATTTAATTGATTTAATATTAAATTTTCGACCTCATACTGGGATTTCAATTATGTTTCCAAAGTGTTTCACCTCTCTTTGAGATAGCCAAGACACAATGCCAGCATACTATCATTCTTTTAAATCCACTAGCACTATTTGTTTCTCATTGATGGTTAAAGTCTCAATTCGAATATTAAAGTACTTGCTTTGTCTGTCTTCAGAAGACATCTTGAAGTGCTAAGTTCATGAAAACAGTTTGAAGGATTCTACATTTCCTAATAGTCCATACTTTAACTTTTAAATTCTTCAAAATCCTGAAGAGGTTCTAAAGATTCAATAGTAAATCCTTCCAAGCTAAGGTCCTTGATTTTCAGGATTGTGAGAGTAAAAAGTACTAATTTGGCAAAATGCATTTTCAAAACTCAGAGGTGAAACATTAGGTTTCATTAAAACCTCCAGAACACTGGCCAATTCACTCCCCCTCCTTAACTAAAAAAATACACACTCTCTTACCTGATTCGATCACGCAGAAGAAACTTGCATCCCGGTAAGGCAAGCAGTTTCTCAGAATGATGATTCCTTCTGCCTTGAACTTTGCTTGTTTGACTTCTCAGAGCTCTCCAGTATCTACTGAGGAAAAGAGTATCAAAAGTTAGTTTTCCTTAGCATTCAAATGTGGGTGTGGCTGGCATAAGGATAAGACTAAAATGTATTGATAGCAAAAGGCTTAGATAAATACATTTGTCCTGGACAGCCTGCTAATAGGATGAGTGCTTACAAATAATCTGCCGGTCTAAGTCCATTTCTAGTATAGCCATCCCCATTTGCAGAACATCTGCAAACTGAAACAGGATATTAAACACAAGTTTACTTAACCTCCCCCCCCCATCACTCAACTATCAATGAAGAAGGAGTGAAAAGTATATTGGACAAAGTTTTATTTCTATATGGATCCTAGGATAAGGGTGACTCTAGTCTCCGTCCACATGACAGAGAATACAAATAAAGACAGAGTTATAGAGAGAGCTTCCAAATCAGGAAAAGATAGTTAAGGATAGCATGATCCACAAACAGTTATTCCAGGAATCAAACCCAGTCTTTGAATTCCTATTTTTCCATGCATAAAACCTTACTCTCTATGTTACGTTAACCCTATCTTGGTGAGTCAGCCTCTGAATATGCCAGTGTTCACTCTCTCTCTCTCTCTTCTCTCTCATAGGTGATATGAGAGATCATAGGTGATTTTAGCTCTTAAAATCTTATCACAAGGAAGAAACTACCCAGCACAGAACAAGGAGAACTGATACATTACATACATTAATAGTTGTATGTCTTCAAGGTAAATGTATTCAAGCCAAAAAATGTTTCTTTCAAACCCTCAACTCTACACCATGAATTTGTGATAGTCATTGACACTATAAATTCTCCTAATATTTTCCCTGTGCCTTTGGAGTAGTGATCTTACAAGACTGATACCAAATTTCATATATTCCACAATCACATCTTTAGCATGATCACATTAGCTTCCTTTTTAAAAAACCATAAATTTCATATATACATATTTTTATATATCGCCCAGATTTTAATATTTATATTCTATTTCTTAATGTTATGTTACTTCTATTAAAAATAAATTAAGGGCTGGAAGAAGAAGACCGGAGTTAAGGTATTTGGTCTTGCACGTGGCTGATTCCAGTTGGACCCCTGGCATCACATATGGCACATATGCTTTCCCTGTACCACCAGGAGCACAGGGATAGGAGTAAGGCCTGATCACAGTCCGGTTCAGCCCCCTAAAGCAAGGAAATGGCAAATAAGGATTGCGGAGGGAAGTAGAACTCTGGTGAAGGGTATGATGCTAAAACGTTTTGCATGAAACCCTACAGTTAACAATAGTGTAAATCATGGTATGTTGAATAAAAAGTAACGAATAAATTAGGACTACAGAGATTGTACCAAGGACTGGCATGCACGCTCTGAACAGAGAACTGGCTTTGATCCCTCACACTACATGATCCCTACACAACCACAAGGAGCGCCCCCAGAGCACAGAGCCAGGAGTAGCACCCAGAGCACCACCAGGGATGGCCCCCCAACACAATCTCTAAAATCATAAAAATAAAAAGCGAGATCTACACTTAATAGAACTTATTAAGTACTATTCCTAACTGAATATAATGAAATATCTTTAAAGCAGTGGTTATGTCTGGGTCTTGGTCAAGAAATACCTGAATTAAACAAGCAACATTTTGCATTCCAGAAGGCAAGACATCATTGAGATGATTCGAATTGTCAAAAAAAAGACTAGAGGTTTCCAGTAACTAAAATTTGGGGAATCTGAAAATGTTTTTGTTTTTAAATCTCTGCAATTGTGGTCAGAGAGAAAGTGCAAGGGTTAAGGTACTTTTCTTGCAAGCACTTGTCCTCGGTTTAATCCCTGCTACCACATATGGCCCCTCAGAACTACCAGGAGTGACTCTTAAACATAGATCCAGGACTAGCCCAAGTATTGCCAGTTGTCACCCCAATGGCCTCCCTTATCACTACCATCATGATACTAAAAAAAATTTTTTTTGCATCTTTAAAAGATGCTACACGTCCTTCACGCCCGACCGAGGTCACCAGCTGCCCCCCACGAGCGGCTCTCCTCTCCAGCACGGCCACAGCCCGGAGGCACAAGGACTTAGCACAGAGAGCCAGCCGCTTGGAGCAGAAAAGCAAATGGACTATGTGTTAAACCGGCACGGCCACGACTCCAGAGCACAGAAACCAATCTCTTAACTATCTAACTTTTAATAGAAATACTTCCAGGGTTAATAAGTAAAACAGCAGAAATCCAAAACCGCGCAGCCGCGATCGCGACGACATCATTTTATTCTTAAACCAAGCTGTAGAAAGCAAATCATTTCACAACGCTGTTTCAGCATATCTGATTGGGGGAGGGGGGTCGTAAACTCTAAACAATAATTGTACATCATCTATCGAAACAATGTATGTAGTCAAAAGTAGATAGAGTATAAACTAGAACTCATCTGCCTTACAGGAATTGGGAGGGGTGGGAGGTGGGGTTCTATTGGGGTTCACGGTTAAAAATAAGTATTGGTAAAGGGAAATGTGTTTGATACTTACATGACTGAGACCTAAACCCAAAAGCTCTGTAACTTTTCCCACAGTGATTCAATAAAGAAATAAACTATAAAAAATAAATAAGTAAATAAAAGATGCTACAGAAGAGAATGGAAAGATGGGAGGCAGGAAGTTTGCCTTGCCCCTGAAGGACCTGGGTTCTATCCCCAGTACCCCATATGATACTCAAAGCACCTCCAGGAGTGATCCCTGAGAACAGAGGCAAGATTAAGTCCTAAGCACTGCCAGGTGTGGAGGGATGGGAGGATATGCTAAAAATGTAGTTTGTTTTCTGAACCTGATAGAAAGGAGAAGAAAGATCGAGAAATCAAGAAGGTACTCTCCTTTTCTGTATAACAGTGTGCTGGGAAAAGGCAAGTTAAAGATGAGGGACAATTTATTACCTTCCAGGTATTCCAGCTCATAAGTGAAGAAAAGTATCAGAATTACAAACTAAATGTTTTTCACACACCCCCAAATAATAATTCTACTCAATAATCAATAATAGCTTGCTGCTATGTTCCTCAAAGAAACACAGTACAGATTTTACAATTTTACATCATTTTACAAATTTACATCAGATAGTACAAATTTGGGGGTGAGGTACACAAACTTACCTCCCTAGTCTTCTTACCAAAAAAATGAAAATGAATTCCTGCTTTTAGGGAATGTGAAAAGCTACCCAATTTGTTAAAGGGTAATGGGTGATGCAGCAAGGGGAAAAATCCATATTATGAAAGCAGATGATCTAATTTCCTTAACAAGTGCATTGAAAGTGAAGAAACAAGAATGAAGTAGTATGGGGGGGGTAGTGTTAGAGGGGGTGGAGTGAGAAGGAGAAGGAAAACAAGAGTGTAAGAAGAGGAAAAGATGAGAAGAGTAAAGAGGATAGAAGAAGGAACTTGTGTGTTTATGAAGACTAAAAAAATCGATCAACCAACTATAATCAAATCATCATCACTGACTCAAATACTATTTCAAAAGTTTGTGACAGTTGGGAAAATTTGAAAACTATCTGGATACTTGATGATATAAAGGAATTACTATTAAAATATTGGTGTAATATTTTAAATGTTAAGATTCCACTTTTTAAGATGCCCTTGGGTATCTCAGATTTTCTACAAAGAAGCAATAGCAAAAATATTCAAACATTCGATGGATGAATAAAGAGATGGATGAAAGAACAGATGGATGGGAAATGACCTTTATTCTTTAAAACCCTGCTGGACAGGACAGAGGTGAATTCAAAGTACTGTTGACAAGAAATGGTTGAGTGCTCCTCGCAACCCTTTTCTACCCCCATCAAGTGAGCTGGACTCTTATCTGCCTAGATTTTCAGAGGTAGCTTAAATTCTGACTTTCAGATGAACTAGTGTGATACTTTGATTCAGAGCATAGTGACCTGGGGAGAGAGATGGGGCTTAGGATATCTGTTTCACCTTTTGGATCAAGACAACCAGCCTTATCTGGCTTCTAGGTAGCTGCTCCTAGATGCTGCAGCTGCTTCCTTATTTCACGACACTGACCAAAGCAGCCTACATCAGTTGCAGTTAGTCATGCAGTTTAAGTTGTGACACTGTTCTCACAAGCTGAACTTCTTTTCTGTTCTTTAGCCTTCACTGCAATTACTGCAAATTACTGCCATTCCCTAATAATTTCTTCTTTGGGGGGGGGGTCATACCCGGTGATGCACAGGGGTTACTCCTAGCTCATGCACTCAGGAATTACTCCTGGCGGTGCTCAGGGGACCATATGGGATGCTGGGAATCGAACCCGGGTTGGCCGCATGCAAGGCAAATGCTCTACCTGCTGTGCTATTGCTCCAGCCCCAATAATTTCTTCTGAAGTAGCCTCAAGTAAATTCTGCTATCTCCAACGATGTCCATACTATATGGTACAAACATGAGCTTTGGGCCTTCTTTGGGAGCATGAATGCTTTGTAATCACAGGACTCTCTGCATGCCAAGCTGTCTCTAGGAAGATTTTCAAAGTTAAAGTGATGAGCAATCATTCATCTGGGGGACACAGAGTAACAAAATAGGAGATTAATACCCAAGAATAGCCGAGATCAGTACCAGGAGGATTACTCCATGGCTTAGAGGCCAGCCGGGCACGCTAGGAGAAAGGGCAGCTTAGATAGAGAAGGGAGCACCAAGTAATGGGTGTTGGGAGAATCCTCCCAGGATGGGAGAAGCATGCTGAAAGTAGACTATAGACCAAACATGATTGCCACTCATTGCCTCTTTTGCAAACCACAACACCCAAAACGAGAGAGATAACAAAAGGAAATGCCCTGCCACAGAGGTGGGATGGGATGGGGGGATGGGGGTGCGAGGGATACTGGGATCCATGGTGGTGGAAAATGGACACTGGTGGAGGGATGGGTACTCGATTATGGTATAACTGAAACCCAAGCACAAAAATTTGTAAGTCTACAACTGTACCTCATGGTGTTTCACTAATACAAATTTTTTTTAAAAAGTGATGAGCAATCTGTCACAATG